ATTAACAGATTATAATTAAACACAGGTCTGAAAGACATCATCTTTATACTCCAAACATACTGTATTATCAGGGTTAAGACAAAGAAAAATCTGGATATTCTTATATTTAGTATGCTACTTACAGGTATTGCAGTATTTCACTATAAATTACTATATTTTAAACAATAGCGTATTGCAGTATTTCACTATAAATTACTATATTTTAAACAATAGCGTATGGGAAGAGCCTAGTACAAGTAAATAAAACACTGATTACATTACAATTCTTATGAAAATTGTTTTGCTTCTTATGGAACTGCCTTAGCACCACATTTGTAATTGCTTTTTCCAATATATAAACAGTATTTTATTCTTATTTTTAAAGTTTTTTTATAACATGAGCCTTTTCTGGCAGTATGAAATGCATTCTTCATTCAGACAAATTACCTAAACAACATAACAAGAAAAAACCAACTTCATACTAGTTTTATAACTGGTTTATAATAGGTGTGTTAATGCAAAAAAGGTAATCAAGGAGTCCCATAGCCTCTGAGTCTCCCTATTGCAATGAAGTCTGACTTTTCTTCCATTGCTGTATTTTTCCTGATTAAATATACTTACAAACTGATTTCTCAGAAGGTTTTGTCTATCATTTAGATACCAGGCTATGAATTACAACAGATATCAGCAAGCAATGAAGTTATGGAAGTATAAGAAGTAAAATACTGCGTAACTGAAGTGACTGGTTATGCACTCAGTGTTATGTCATTGTTTAAATTGTCCATAACTAGCGTTTGTATACTGAGGCAGGTCTTGGTCAGCTGCTTTGTAAGGCTAAACTCTTTCTAGCAGTCTGAAAGATGCTGTGCGCACATCCAGTTAAAAAATACCTAGCCACCTGGTAGACAAAGTGTGGGCATAGTGTAAAACAATTCCAGACTCAGGTTCCCTTCTCTGCAGAGAATTTAAACGTGTATTATGTACATTTGTACATCAAAAGTATGTAAGATTTCTGCTGTGGAAAGAAAATACAGGTTTGTTAAAACTTGTCAAAAGAGCAATAAAAGAGATTATTTATTCTAGCATGTTTCTTTTCAGCTGTCATCTCCCTCTTCTCAGTGCTTTTCCATAAATTGACAGAGTTTTAGATTATATGTTACCTTGTGGGGAAAATCCAAGACATATGATACAGATACCATTAGAAGTCTTTACATTTTAAAATATTTAAAAATATGTTCTAAGATCAGACTGGATGTCAAAACAGTGTGTTCCTTCTGTATTAGCTGATTTCTTTAGAGGCATGAGTGTGCTGTACTAAAAAGAAAAAGAAAAGCAGCCAGTCTTGTGATCTGTAGTAGATGTTCCAAAAGAGAGTACCACCCTCAGCATCATATGCTAGGTTGGCATTATATACATATATGTACTCCCATACAAGTAATGTTTTGGTGATCAATCTTAAAAGGCAATGAGAAAAGGGAACAAGGTCTGGCCAACAACATGGTATTTAATTTTTACATACAGGAGTTTGTGCAAAATGTAATGCATGAATTATGAAAGATGTGCAAAAATTTTAGTGTTATCCACAAGAATTTTATGTTCTGACCAGTGGCATAACATAATAAACAAGAGCTACCAAGGTTGGAAAGGAAATGTTCATGATAATCTGATGACAATAAAATTATCATCTTATCTCATTGGTGACTTGCATTTGCTGGTTGGTTGTTCAGCTGTTTTACATAGTTAGAGTACTCCTTTACCATTTGTCACTTTTATGACTTATTGTGAGCATTGCTGCAGGGATAAATAATCTTAAGGAAAAATCTGGGAGTTGAGAGGAAGGGGACTTCCTTTTCATGATGCAGGAAGGGTCTAAACTAAAGTTTACAGGGATGAGAACTTCAATCTATCCCACCCCTAACATTTTGATGTCAGTGCCAACAAGAAGTGCCCAGAATCTGGAGAATGTTCAGCAGGTTTAGATAGGGAAGTTCTTCATTATGAAGGTAGTCAGGCACTGAAACAGATTGTACAGAGAAGCTGAGAATGCACCATCCCTGGAAGTTTTCAGGGCCAGGGTGGATGGGGGTCTAAAAAATCTGGTCTAGTGAGGAAGGTCTCTGCCCATGGCAGGGGAGTTGGAAATAGATGGTCTTTAATGTCCTTTACAGCCCAAACCATTCTATGATTCTATGATTCTCTTACAATAAAGAGAGACAGGAAATACAAAATAGAAGTAAGACAGCAAAATGCACAGGAACACCTATTGTTGGTAGCTGGAGTAGGCTCAGGATGGAAGGGTTACAGATCTTTGGTCAAGGAGAGAGCTGTGAAAAGACTACAAGGCAATTAGGAAAAAATTGGAAGTTAATATAATGGGAAAGAGTAAGATAAAGCTTCAGCTCAGAGAACAGCTTATTTATAGCACTTTATTGACAGGATGAGAATATTATTTTTAGCAGCATCTTTTGAATGCTCTTTAGAATTACATCAGTGTAAGAGTCCAAAACACAGTACAATGACCAAAGGATTTGTCATTTAAAAGAAAGGTTAATGTTTTAAACTCAAGACTTAGAAACATTTCATTGTTCAAAGTGTTTTGATATTTTTGTGCATCACAAGGAACGTAAATTGGTAAAATTAGGATTATCTGCATAAAAATATTTCAGAGTTATCTCTGTAAAGAAATAAAAGGCTATTTGATTTGTCTTCTCTATTTCTTATATTAGAGTGTTGACTGGGAAAGCCCAATAATATTTATACAGAGAAGGATGTAATTAATTTCACCATAAGAATAAAAATTAACTACTTCTTTTCATTTTTGAAAGCTGTCTGCTGGCAATGCAGATGTTTGACTATCTTTGTTACATTTTTTCCACTGCTATTGACAAGCAAGCAGCAGGTCTGTTGGATGGAGTTTCAAAACTGCTTATGAACAGCAATCCACCTGCAGCATGGTACAATAACCTTGACCACAGGAGAGAGCTTAAAGCAGTTGAATGAATATGCTAAATTACCCACCAATCTTTGTCTCCTTAGGACCAGAAAATACACCAGCTGTGTGCATTTATAGGAAAATCTCAATAGTGGAGTAAAATTTCTGATCAGAACAAAAAAGCTAGCCAATAAATGTCTGCTCCTAAATACCTCTAAACTGAAAAAGAATTTTGTCATGTCTTTCTGGGCTAGGGAAAGGAAACAAAGATGTCTTAGTAATTCTGTGGTTCTGGATTTACCCACATTATCATCAGTATTCTTTGATGAAAGTCTAAGAACCTAGCAACATCTGGAACACATTCATAGACGAAAAGTTATTTTTAGAAGACACTTAACTGTTGTCCTTATGGAATTTGTTGCTTTAGCAATTCTTCTGTGATAAGCAGCATTGGATCAGTTACCTTGTCCTGAGGTTAGATGCTGTTCTGAGAAATCTGATTTAGTGGAAGATGCTCCTACTCATGGCAGGGGATTGCAATTTAAGGTAGTATTTAAGATCCCTGCCAACCCAAACTGCTTTATGATTCTAATTCTATTAACTTGTTAATATACATTTGACACAATGTGTACCCTGTTTTAAAAATATCCTATTTTAAATTATGTCTCATAAGGAAACAGCAGTGGAAACTATTTGTACAAAGTATGAGAGGGAATAGGGACAATTTAGGGTGTATTAGACCCTGCAGATGTCAGCACTTCAGATGTTCTAATCTGTGATTCCAAGAACAGAAATACTGATGAGTAAACTCTACAATTATAAGCATTTAACCAAGCCCAGGCATTTAAATGGGGTTTTTTTCAGCTTCTTTTACCATCCAACCTGCATTCTGAAGTTCTGCATTCTTTTGGAGGCCAGAATTTCAGAGCAATTAGAGTCCAGCAGAGACGCTGGAGAATTTGTCTCTTCTTCAGACTAATCAAAAGGAGACACATAACAAGGATTTCTAATATTTTAATTTCTTCCAGCACCTTTGTAATGAATTCCTGCTCTGAGGAAGATGTAGAAGATGGTAGCAATATGCAGCATATATAAAACCTAACCCGAGAAGTTAGTTCAACAAGAAATTAGATGGAAAAGAATTCCATGTATCAAACAAAATACAATATTAATGGTTCTGCCCAAAACTTGGGAATTACTTTTTCCTTCTGACAGATGTGTTGTACATCTTTGTCAAATGTTCCACAGGGTGTTTGGAAAGGAAATTATGTACAATGTGCTAAGATGTGAACAGTCAAAATGTTAAATATTTCAACTTATCTTTCTGTGAGAAAGTACACGTACAAAACACAAAAAAATATCACCCCACTATTATTTTTTGCTATGTCATTTTAATAAATGTAGCTAAACTGTAATGTACCTGTTCAAATTTATTGTGAGGGGGTAACATGACAAAAAAAACCCAAAACAACAAGTCAAGAACATTACAATGCTTTTGCTTTGAAAGGACATTGTCTTTCTAAATAAAAAATATACTGAAGTAGGAGGGAGTAAAACCAATCAAGATGGATGTCTTTGATGCAATACATCTCAGGTGGAAAGTGTTTGTTTTGTAATCAACTTTCTTTACATTTATCACATATTACTCCCAGTGACTCCAGTGTTTAGTCCCCTGCAGGACTGTTCATATTCTAGATAAATTCAGACAAACTGTATCTGTAGGGGAAGTAATATTTTTTTTCAATATTTAACATCAATTAACTTTTATTCTAAGGAAACAGTGGCATTTTCTCCTCCTATTCAGACTTATTTTCCTGCATGTTTATTGTTTTAGCTAGAGGTACCTTGTTTAATGTTTATAGTAAGCTTCAGTTTAATATTTATATTTAGTGTGTCTGGTAAGAGATAACAAAGAGAGTAGGAAATCTGTTCTCTCTAGATACATTTGCAAAACTGTGCATATAATTTCTATTCAGTGAAAAAGGATAAAATCTGTATACTATTGAAAGTCTAGAAGGTTAACTGTTTTTGGTGTGGTCAAGTATGTAGCTCACAAAACATCTCTCTTTTGTATTTTTTTGTATTACAGGTAGCATAGTGTACCTTGGGATGATGGTGGGGGCGTTCTTCTGGGGAGGCTTGGCAGACAAGGTGGGAAGGAGACAATCACTCCTGATATGCATGTCTGTCAATGGATTCTTTGCCTTCCTCTCATCCTTTGTCCAGGGCTATGGCTTCTTCCTCTTCTGTCGCTTGTTTTCTGGATTTGGGTAAGCTCCTCTGGTTTTGTTCATTTTCACAATTCTATGTGTTAATAAAACATTTCTGTTTGCAAAAGCACATTTGTTAATGTAGAAATACACTAATAGTGTAGAAATGCACACTGCGTCAGAGGTGAGAGAAATAAGCAAGGTAGCTACTACACTCCTAAATAACCTGAAGGGGAAAAATAATTTTGGGGGAAAGAAACAGACTGAAAACTGTGAAACTGAATTTGTTGTTATATTGCATGGGATTTGTTTTGTGGACTTGATCAACCTGTTAACTCTTCTATGCCTTGTCTTCTTTATGTATTTTTTTCCGTCAGCAAAATAACACTCTCCTCACAGGTGTATGCTAAATACACAGAGGTGTATTTTGGTAATATTTATAAAGTTTCTAATGTCTCTGTGTGCACAATATTGTTTATAATACCATTTCATCAAGATAGTCAGATTTAAAATGGGGTCCTAAACTGTGCCAGATTCACAGAATTCACAGAATCACCAGGTTGGAAGAGACCTTCAAGATCATCGAGTCCAACCCAACTCTAACACCTCAACTAAACCGTGGCAGCAAGTGCCACATCCAGTCTTTTTGTAAACACATCCAGGGATGGTGACTCCACCACCTCCCTGGGCAGATCATTGCAATACTTTATCACCCTTTCTGTAAGAAACTTTTTCCTAATATTCAACCTATATTTCCCTTGGTGCAGCTTGAGACTGTGTCCTCTCATTCTGTCAGTTGCTGCCTGGTGAAAGAGACACCCTCACCTGAGTACACCCACCTTTCAGGAAGTTGTAGGGAGTGATACTAGATAGACCCCTCCTCCGAGTCTACTTTTCTCCAGGCTAAACAGCCCCAGCTCCCTCAGCCATTCCTCACAGGGTTTGTGTTCCCAGCCCCTCACCAGCCTCGTTGCCTCCTCTGGATGTGCTCAAGTGTCTCAATGTCCTTCCTGAACTGAGGGCCCAGAACTGGACACAGAACTCCAGGTGTGACCTCACCAGCGCCGAGTACAGGGGTACAATGACCCCCCTGCCCCTGCTGGCCACACTATTCCAGGGGCCATTTGGCTTCTTGGCCACCTGGGCACACTGCTGGCTCATGTTCAGCCACTGTCACCAGCACCCCCAGGTCCCTTTCTGCCTGGGCACTGTCCAGCCACACTGTCCCCAGCTTACAACATTGAAGGGGTTTTTTGAGCCCAAAACTCAGGACTCAGCACTTGGACTTATTAAACTTCATCCCATTGGACTCTGCCCATCCTTCCAACCATTCCAGGTCTCTCTGCAGAGCCCTCCTCCCTTCCAACAGATCAACACACACTCCCAGCTTAATGTCATCTGCAAATTTACTAATGAAGGACTCAATAGCCTCATCCATGTCATCTATAAAAATATTGAACAGGACTGGCCCCAGCACAGACCCCTGAGGGACACCACTGGTGACTGGACACCAGCTGGGTGCAGCAGTGTTCACCACCACTCCCTGGGCCATCCAGCCAGTTCCTAACCCAGCACAGAGTGCTCCTGTCCAAGCCATGGGCTGCCAGCTTCTCCAGGAGTGTGCTGTGGGAGACAGTGTCAAAGGCCTTGCTGAAGTCCAAATGGACACATCCACAGCCTTTCCTGCATCCACCAGGTGGGTCACCTGGTCATAGAAGGAGATCAGGTTGGTCTAACACAACCTGCTCCTCCTGAACCCATGCTGGCTGGGTCTGATCCCCTGGCCATCCTGTAAGTGCTGCACGATGACACTCAGGATAAACTGCTCCATTACCTTACCTGGTACTGAGGTCAGGCTCTCTGGCCTATAATTACCAGGATCCTCCTTCCCATCCTTTTGTGAATGAGCATCACACTGGCCAGCTTCCAGTCATCTGGAACCTCACCAGTGAGCCAGGACTGTTGGTAAATGATGGAGAGCAGCTTCACAAGCTCATCTGCCACTCCTCATCACCCTGGGATGGATCTCATCTGCTCCCATGGATTTATAAACATCCAAGCGGCTCAGCAGGTCTCTGACTGCCTCCTCTTGGATAATGGGGGGACCATTCTGCTCCCTGACACCATCTGCCAACCCAGGAGAACAGTTGTCCTGAGGACAAGTTGCTTTCCCACTAAAAATTGAGGCAAAGAAGGCATTGAGCACTTCAGCCTTCTCCTCATCTGCAGTTACTAAGTTCCCCCCAGCATAAGACTGAACAAAGGCTGGTCTTACCCTTCCTTTACTTTTAATGTAGTTGTAAAAATATTTTTTCTTATCCTTTACAGAAGTCACTATTTTAAGTTCAAACTGAGCTTTTGCCTCTGTCATTATTTTCTTACATGCCCTAGCAACCCCCTTAAATACTTCCTGAGAGACCTGACCCTCCTTCCAAAGCTGATACATCCTCTTTTTATTCTTAAATTCCTCCAAAACCTCCTTACCCATCCAGGCTGGACGTTTGCCTCATTGACTTGTCTTTCAGCACACAGGGATAGTCTGCTCCTGTGCCCTCAAGATCTCTGTTTTGAAGCACATCCACCTTTCCTGGACTCTTTTGCTTTTAAGGGCTGCTTCCCAAGGAAGTCTCTGAATAAGTCTCCTAAATAGACCAAAGTCTGCCCTCCAGAATTTCAATGTAAAAGTCTTATTGATGCTCCTCCTGATTTCACCAAATATTGAGAACTCCATAATTTCATGATCACTGTGCCCCAAGCAGTCTCAAATCACCACCACATCTCCCACCAGCCCTTCTCTATTTGCAAAAAACAGGTCTAACATAGTCCCTTCCCTGGTGGGCTCACCCATCAGCTGCAACAAAAGTTGTCCACCATACACTTAAAAAATTTCCTGGACTTCCTCTTTTCTGCTGTAAGTTTCCAGCAGATGTCTGGCAGGTTGAAGTCACCTACAAGAACAAGGGCTGGTGATCCTGAGACGTTCTCCAGCTGCTTATAGAATGAGTTGTCTGCCTCTTCTTCCTGGCTGGGTGGACGATGACAGACTCCCAGCAGGATGCCAGCCTTGTTGGCCTTCCCTTAATAAATATTATTCTCTCTGAAAGAATGTTTTTTACAGACCTGTGTTTTCTTTGCTTTTCATATAAATAACTTCTCAGTGATTAAATTTATAAATTTAAACTCTTTTGAGCAGAGACAGAGGTACGTAAGTAAATTACTATGAGAAAACCTCTACCTCTACTGCACCCTTGGATACACAAGAGCTGTCTTCTACAGACTGCTTAGTTTAGCACTTCTGGTCATTGCTTGATTCAGATTAAGGCTCCTAATTACAGTTCCAACTCAGACCACCATCAGTCTTTAGTATGCTGAATAGACAGGATCTGGTGAGAGCACAGCAGCTGTGTTATAAGGTCATACACAGGAACTCCACTGCTTTTATGGTTTGTTTCCTTTATGTTACATAGCCATGGTTCAGCAATGCAGTTGTGTGATATTTGTGTTTTGAGAAATCCTTTGAACTCATCTGAAGTAGGCTAGGGCTCGACATGAATACCAAAAAGAAATTACCATGGCACTCAGTAATTTTAAACTGATTTAGGAAGAGGAATAGAAGGACAAGAGGAGAGAGAAAGATGTGAGGAGTCTTCTTGCTAGAAAAATCTCCTTAGTCTGTCACCAGATTATCAGATATGACTTTATAAGATAACAAGGGAAAATGACAATATTCTAATTCCTAAAAACCCCAAATCCCATAGAAAAACAAAATTTTAAAATTCCCACATCATAAATCATCGTCAGTTCCAGGAGCTATTTTTTTTTTCACCCCATGGAGAAACACTACAGATCGTGTTTCATGACTCTTTCACTCTTTTGTGATCCTGGCAAAGCTGAGAAGCTTGTTGTATTACTGCTTAGTCTGGCCAATTCACTGGACCCTTATGCTACAAAGGTTTGTTTGTTAGCAGACAGGTTTGGCTTTAACCTATATTGTCCATTTAGGGATATATTGCAAAATATGTATTCATTATGGCTCATTAGAAACTTGCCTGCACCATTTCCTCCTCACCTGTCCAGGAGCTTTTCCAGTAAGTGTCAGCAGCTTTCCTTGTGATACATGTACATCCTCAATTGGGAACCATGTTCTCTTGTGTACCCAGCTTATGAGTAATGGTCCTTGAAGGAGCAGCCCCTTCATATCTGTATCCTGTACTTTCCTCACTCTGTTCAAAATCCTCCTACCTCATCTTTGAGAGCTACAGGGATAAATCATAGATAATTTGTCACCATGTACGATATTTCAAATGGAGTCTCCAAAACAAAACAAACCCCAAACCAATCAAAACAACAACAAAAATGACAGCATGAACTGCAGAATCATTCCTCACAGAATCTGCAGAGAGAGGTTCATGGTTGGCTCATATTTGCTGTTTTCTTCAAAGATTGTATTTTTCCCATGAATAATCCCCTTCAGATGGTATTAGGGTAGCAGTGTGAAAGCCATGAATCTTCTAGAAAAGAATCTGCTTCTCAGACCCTCAAGATGAGGAAAAGTTCATCTTGATGGGTGCTTCCCCTTTTCCAGTCAATGAACAAGTCACCAAATCGCCACACTTTCTCAGATATGGAGGATAGTGGCTTATGAACTTTGTCTTCCAATTCCATCAGGACCCACCCATGTATCTTATCAGGTCCCATCAGCCTGTGCACCTTCAGGCTACTTAGATGCTCTCGAACCTGATCCCCTCCTAGGGTGGAAAGTTGTCATTCTTCCAGCCCCCCTGCCTGGCCTTCTGCAGCTGGTGTGAGTGGAGCTCTTTGCAGTGAAAACTGAGGGGGAAAAAAAAAGTTGAGTGCCTCAGCCTTCTCCATATCCAAGTAACCAGGTCTATGGTTTCCTCTGGGGAAAGGCACACATTTTCCCTAGTGTTTTTGATGAAATTCCACTGTAATTCTGTTTTCAAGGGAGGATGCTTTGTTCCAGTAATTTTGTGTGATTCAAAGAGTCCAACTGTGGAATTAGAATGATTTTAAGGAAAGAACTGAAAGGTATATTTTAA